TTTAATTACCTTGTTATCGTGCGAAGCTGTAATTTGAGATGCAGCGATGTTGAAAAATTAATTCCCAATTTCTCAGTGTTGTTACTTTGCTACGTAAACCAGGAGGTGGCAGAGTCTTCCTGTCTTCCCACTTCAAGCCCGAAGATCTCTCTATATGCAGTGCCTTCTAAACTTGCCTTTATTTCCATACTGTAAGGGGGTGTATATGTCAAATTCGAAACCATTTGGCCATCCCAACTCAAGTTCTTCCATTGACAGTGTCAAACAAAACTTTATTTCGAAGCAATTTTCATTTGAATACTAAGAAAAGACGAAAACCTTTGAATTTTGATCTTGATCTAAGAGCCATGACGTCCTAATGGCTTTACTTCCCAGCATAATGCGACCTGTTACTTGCTTCTCGTAAGTGAGGATGAATGCAGCGCCAACTCAGTCCAAGTCAGCGATTTTGAAGTTACCAGGCCATGATCTAGAGACACAGATCTTCTCATGCTAACCAGAATTCCGTCTGTATTTTAAAAAGTATATGATTTTACACACACTTTCGCCACTGCTGTATTATTAGGTGTGAAGCCAAATAATTTCGGAACCAATACTGGTGGATAATAGACACGTAACCTTGCCAAATTAAGACACAAATAAATGTACATTGATGAGTACCATGAAAAGTATGACACCTCTACAATTTTTATTTCTATTATTGATATATTCTAGCATTTATTCTTCCTCTTTTGCCTTCCCTCAACCCTTTTAGACTCTCTGAAAGGGTTGGTCTTTCTTTTGCCTTCATCCTGAAATCTGTCATGGAATCTGCTCAGCTGGAGAACTTGTCCGGGGAAACTATTTTAATTCTTTCCTCTGAACTAAACCTCCTCTCATCTCGACTGACAAGAGTTCAGCATCGCCTTCGGATAAAATGGGTTGTCGAATTGTTGTGAATTTGCAAGTCATACGAAAAGTGTCACTTGTTCACACACACACACACAACACACACACCACACACACACACACACACACACACACACACACACACACACACACACACACACACACACACACACACACACACACAGACACACATAAGCACACACACACATACACACACACACACGCACACACACACACACACACACACACACACACACACACACACACACACACACACACACACACACACACACACACACACACACACACACACACACACACACACACACCACACACATACACACACACACACACACACACACACAGACACACACACACACACACACACACACACACACACACACACACACACACACACACACACACACACACACACACACACACACACACACACACACACACACACACACACACACACACACACACACACACACACAGCACACACACACACACAGACACACACATAAGCACACACACACATACACACACACACACGCACACACTCACACACACATACACACACACACACACACACACACACACACACACACACACACACACACACACACACACACACACACAACACACACACACAGACACAGCACACACACACAGACACACACATACCACACACACACACACACACACACACACACACACAAACACACACACACACACATACACATACAACACACCACACACAAACACACACACACACACAAACACACACACACACACACACACACATACACACACACACACACACACACACACGACACTCACACACACATCACACACACACACACACACACACACACACACACACACACACACACACACACACACACACACACACACACACACACACACACACACACACACACACACACACACACACACACACACACACACACACACACACACCACACACACACACACACACACACACACACAAACACACATAAACACACATAAACACACACACACACAGTATAGGTTTATCTATTTCCACTCTTAATCGTTGCTCAGGTTACGCAAAAAAAAAAACTTCACTATATTGATATGACTTTTAGAAATTATGCGATGCACGAAACTCATACTGTTAAAAAACCGTCATTATCATTATCATCATTTCATCATGAGGTCGCCATTTTTATTGCAGTCGAATTATTACTCTTAGGTAATCGGCATTATCCCTGGTGGCAATATCACTGCTATCATCAGTATTACAGATGGTAGTGATATTATCATGATTAATGATATGAGATATATGACTGTACAAATGCCCTTTTCCCCCATCTCACTCCCTGTCTTTCTTTCCCTATCTATCTATCTATCTATCTATTTATATGTCTATCTATCTATTTATCTATCTATCTATCTATCTGTATATCTATCTATCTATCTATTTATCTATCTATCTGTCCATCCGTTCACCTATTTATCTGTCTATATAACTATCTGTATAAATATATGTCTATCTATCTATTTATCTGTTCATCTGTCTATCCATATTTCTATAAATATGTCTATCTATCTATTTATCTGTTCATCTATCTATCTATATATTTATAAATATGTCTATCTATCCATCTGTCTGTCTGTTTATCTATCTACCTTTTTATATATCTACCAACCTACCTATTTATCTGCCTGGCTGTCTATCTATACCTTTGTTTGTTGTGTGTGTGTGTGTGGTGTGTGTGTGTGTGTGTGTGTGTGTGTGTGTGTGTGTGTGTGTGTGTGTGTGTGTGTGTGTGTGTGTGGTACGTCCGTGTGGGTGTTTATAATGTCACTAGGGAGATCCAAAAAGAAATATATATGCTTATCATATATTTTTATAATTGTTTGGAGACATACCCAATTATTTCACTTTTTGTTTTTCTTCAGAGACTTGGTTAATGGCGGAAAAGGGAATAAATAGAGGAATAATAGAAAAAAATCCACTTGAATTATGACCAGAATGATTTTTAATATCTTTGAGCCTATCCTATCCGGTCATTGATCACAAACTAGTAGTGTTTTTACGCCTCTGTTGTAGAAACAGAAGCAAAATATCATGTTTAAAATAGAATGGCCTTCGAAAATATCCCGTTTTCTCTAATGGTTTATCTTCGCGTGTGGGAAAGTTCAATTTGCATGGATAACCTCGTTAAACTTGCAAAATAGTCGGTAAATTTTCAGAATATATTTGCATAACCGATCGCGACGATTTTGGTATCGATGGACTCCTCCCACTCTCTACTATCTAAATATATCAAACTTACGCCACGAAAACACCTCCAATTGCGACAATCTTGGCCCCGATAGCTGGGAATAGCATGAAAGGTACCAGGGAAATTGCGGGGTAAAATATGAATAACATACGCGGAATGAATGGAAAACAGAGAACCTCCCACGTAATTACGACAGCGTAGAGCGTACGACCCACGCGGGATGCTGAGTACGACCGACGCTCTCTCCTGCCGTGAATTCGTAAGGGATTCTTTATAAACCCCAATTCAGCTGTCAAGTGAGGTATTATCTCCATGACGTAAATATATCATTGTTGGTTTACTCCACAATTTCCCTGGTGCCTTTGATTCCCTCCCCTGCTGTCGGGACCAAGAATGTGGGGTTTTGTGGTATAATTCCTGCATATGTGTGCACTATAATGATTCGAATTTTAACATAGAGTTCATTATTGGTTGATGATTGTAGTGGATAAAAAGAGGTGGTAATCAGAAAGAAGAGAGAGGCGTTGAAAGGAATAAATTGATTGGATAAGAATGAGAAAGAGAGGAGAGAAAGAAAGAAATAGAAAGAGAGAGAAAGAAAAACACAGAATTAAAGATGATGAGAGAAACAGAGAGAGAGAGAAAAAAAAACTGAAATCAAGAAAAGGGAAATGGGTAAACCGAAAAGTAAGAAAAAAAAAACGATAGAAAGAAGGGAAAGGAAAAGAAAGAAATAGGAAAATAGAGGAGGAAGAAAAAGAAGAAAGAGAGAGAGAGAGAGGAGAGAGAGAGAGAGAGAGAGAGAGAGAGAGAGAGAGAGAGAGAGAGAGAGAGAGAGAGAGAGAGAGAGAGAGAAGACAGAGATAGATAGATAGATAGACAGATAGATAGAGAGAGAGAGGAGACACAGAAGAAAGAAAGAAAGAAAGAAAAACAGATAGATAGAGAGGAGACAGACAGACAGACAGACAGACAGAGACGCAAGCAGTTTCCCATCTCCATCCCCCTCTTAACGCACAGTGAAAGAGAATGAACGCCCCGATGAAGCACATCTCTCGCACCTTTATGAGAAACCCTTCCGCGGCCGCAGTGAGGGTCCATTACTCATGATCTTGCTATTTCCCGCCAGCTGTTGGAGACGAAGATTTTGATAAAAAAAAGGAAAAAAAAATCCATGATGATGAGGGATTTATGGGCTGCGTTAAAGCTTGCGATGCTCATAATTGCTAGAATCAACAGTTGTGATCAAGTTGTCTTTCGTATGAGGTTATCGTTGCTCATAATTGCTAGAATCGTTGTCTTTCGTATGAGGTTATCGTTGCTCATAATTGCTAGAATCAATAGTTGTGATCAAGTTGTCTTTCGTGTGAGGTTATAGCTATGCCATTATTATCAATGGATGTGAATCGTCTTGTAGCCTCATCATTTTCGACTTTCTGGGGGTTGTGAGTTTGCCGCACTGAATCATCACAAGACTATGAGATCATCACATATACCAACACCATCATTAGGCTTAGAATTCGCCACATAGCCTCATGATTGTTATCACACAGCCTCATGATCCTCACCCTCGTCTATAAGTCTATCACATACCCTCATTATTACTATCATTAATTCATTCACCACGTATTACCATGTTGATTATTATCATCCGTACGTTCATCACACAACCCTACAACCAACAGTATTACTATCATCACAATAGTAGTGTCATTAATTACTACTATCATCACATTAGTACTATCATCAATTATTACAATCATCACATTAGTACTATCATCACATTATTCCCATCATCAATTAATCCTACCATCACTCCATTCACCACGCATTACCATGTTGATTACCCCGCTCCCTCCAGTCCTCAGCCAGCACCAGCACCCACTTCCTCCCACTCCCTCACAGCCGACAACCACACCCACTCCCTCACAGCCCGACAACAACACCCACTCCCTCACAGCCCGACAACCAGCACCCACTCCCTCA